ATATTTTATTCAAAAATAAAAACATCATCGCTTTCTCAAAATCACATAAAGCCATATTATAACATCGACTGAGATAAAGAATAAAATGAAATATTAAAAACACGATGTATCTCGCTGCATTGCGCGAGTACGCTTCTAGTATATTATAAAACATTTGACAAAAACTCTTAAAAACCATTTTTACGTATGATGTACTGTTTATTGATGCATATTACTTAAAATTCAAGATTACAAGTAAATTGTGCATAAGTACGACTTATTAGATCTTCATGTTTAAATCCGGGTAACTAACTGCGGATAAACATAATCAAATACAAGATAAACTTCTCATTTTAAATATAAAAAATCTAAAATATAATTAAGATAATCATAAGTTCTAACATAATTTATCTTTATAGAAAATTATATTATTAAAAAACAAATTGATTCATTATTATACCTAAATTAAATTATAATTAAAAAATTGAATCAAATAAATTACACAAAAAACGAAAACTTTTAAATAGTTAATTTAATATTAATATCGATATTTTTTTTTTCAAAATCTTAATCACAATATCTTTAAATTTATATTTTATTCAAAAATAAAAACATTATCACTTTCTCAAAAACATATAAAACTGTATTATATCATAAATGAAACAATAAAATTAAGATGTATCTTGTTACATTATGAAATGTTATAATTATTAACATTTTCTTTCCACCAAAGTACAAACTCAAATAAGGGTCTTTGGATTAATATATTTATAACATCATTCATATTCTCTAATACATATATATTTGTTGTTTTTGCAAAAATGATGTCAATAATTTTCTACTGTTGGATTCTTTGTCATTATTCTTTGATGATGAATCTCTTTTGATAACCTATACATTTAGTTAAAAATAAAATAAAAACATAAACTCAACTAATATTATATATATATATATATATATTTATATAAAGGTTGGTTATTATACAACCCTTAACATTTGTGCAACTAATACAACCTAATCTCAACCATCCATTTCATTTAATTAATATGTGATTTATAGAAGTTTTTGATTATTTCCTAATATAAAGTATTAATCATAATTAATAAACCGTATTCATCTTTCATAAATATTTAAATCATAATAAATGAACTCTCATCATTTCCATAAATATTTCAAATTATTGGGTTGCATTGATTGTACAAATGCGATAGGTTGTATTTGAAACAAACTCTCTCTCTCTCTCTCTCTCTATATATATATATATATATATATAATAGAATAGTGTATTATATATAGATATAAATAAAATTCTATAGAAGTTATATCTATATTAGTGGTGGGTTGACGGGTTGTGTTTGGTTGAGTTAGGTTAATCCAATTTCAACCCTCTTAATTACAGTTTAACAGTTTGACGGGATGGATTGGACGGTTTGACAATTTTTTTGTACACCACTACCCGATCCCTAATCCTCATTCCCATCCACATTCCCTTCCCTGTCGGGGAATAAGATTTCATCTCCATTAGGGGGTTTTTCCTCGTCTACACAATCTATTTTTTACATAATGTTTTTAATTATTATGTATATAAATGCCCATTTTATGTTTAAACGACATATAATGCTAAAATATTAATCATTCAAACTTTAAATGTTGTATTTGGGTAAGAGTAACATAAAAAACATAGTTCAAACACAAATATATCAATTACATTACTTAATAAATGAAATTTTATTTAACAATTCCGTTACATCAACAAAAGTTTCTCACCAATAACCAACTCAATGATGTAATTCATTTTTTAAATTAATCTGGATATCCAATCCGCTATGCGAGCCAACTAATCCCAGCGCGACCACCTGCTTTGCAGATAGCCCGGAGTCACCACATTTGAACCTCCGTGGCTATAAGGGGATTTTTATTCCTCCTTGGATATGAACCTGAGACCTCCTGGTACTTTTGACTTTTGGAGCCAAGTTCAAACCAATCAGACACCACTCTTATGGTTGATGTAATCCATTTTACAAGTTGTCATCTTGGAACACTGATTATACTTGTACAATTGTATATACTCATTGAGTTTCTTATTTTATTACTATACTTAGTATATATATATATACACACACACACACACATATGCACGTTATATGGGGCCATTCAAGGGAGAACTCGATAATTTGTGATAACCGTGAGATCCAATCTCAACCACAAATCAAAGAATAAATTAAAAAATTAATAATTTTGGTAACTTTAACTTAAAGTTTTAATTAAACGCATTTTAGGTATTTTATAAATTTTATCTCTCCTCTCTCTTCTCCCTTCCAGCCTGAACGTCCCATCGTGATACCCACAATATACATGTTGTGATACATTAGTTAGAACCACTCTCTCTCTTTATATACCTAATGTATACATGACGTGATACTCTAAAATACACGATGTGATACCCGATTGACACGTTATAATACAATGAGAAAGAGGTGCAACAACGTTGATAGGTATTCGAGGGAGAAAAAGAAATGGAAGATTGATAAAAATATATAAATTGAATAGATGGAAACGGAATAAAATGTTGTCAAATTTTAATTTGCTAGATTGTCATCAAACCAAAATTACTAATTTACTCTTTATTATTAATTTAAAAATATTCTTAACCATCTTAAATGAGTGACTCACATTGGATCTCACAGTTATCTTAAATTACGGATTCTCATTTGATTAAGCCCTTATATATATACACACACAAACATATATAAATGTATAATTAATACTTGGGTTAGGGATGAAGGGTATCCCCGTCCCCAATTTATAACGGGAATTCTCCGTCCCTTGTTAACTCACGGATTCCTCAGTCAAACCGAGATCGGGTATCAGATTCCTTGTTAGGTGCAAGATTTTTTGTCATCCCTAAATATGAAACTAGAAAAATATCAAGGCTTTTGAACCCAAAGTTAAATCTCAATTAATAACGTCATAATCATTAGAGGTGGAGCCAGAAATTAATACGAGGGAGCATCAAATAAATAAATAAAAACTAAAAGCGAATATTATTGTTTCGAATTTTCAAAAACAACGATATGAAATTGATTAAATACCGATCTTTACAGAATTTACAGTGAATTGATTTCTATATGACCAATGTTTGCATCTATCAGAATTATTCTTATCTGACATAAATGACTAATACATAAATGATAAACTATTTAATAGGAAACAAACCAAAATCAGTATTTAACAAATAACAAATATGAATTAACAATATGTAAATGGGTAGTCATAATATTGACTAAGATGAATTATCAAATAAGGTGATGCTTACCAAACACTTATCTGGTAGGAGCTTACCAGTAAAATTTAACACTATTATTTATTTACCGGGAAAGATTTTGGTCCACCAAAACGACATCGTATGCAACAATTTACTCGGTAAGCGCTTACCGTGGTAAGAGTCATTACCCTCACTTACCGGTTAAGACTCTTGGTTCTTGTCTCGCTCTTATCGGGTCCTTATCATATTCATCCAGTGAGGTAGTGTGACTTGGTAAACACTTACCCGTAGGACTGTAAACGAACCGAACGAACACGAACGGAGGCTTGTTCATGTTCGTTCGTTTAACTTAACCGAACAAACGAACGAATACGAACGGTAAACTAACGAAAATCTTTTGTGTTCGTGTTCGTTCGTTTAGAAATAAGGTGTGTTCGTGTTCGTTTATGTTCGTTCGTTAACATGCTAAACGAACGGGCTAAACAAACACAAATAAATATTATTTGAATTCAAAGTAAATAAAGAAAAGATTATATATTAAATCTAATATATAAACGAACGGTAAATGAATGACCGTTCACGAACAAACGCTTACCCGAGTAAGCGTTTACCAAGTCATATTACCTCACCAAGTGAATAGGGTAAGGACCATGAATCTTACCCGGTAAGAACGAGACAAGGACCAAGAGTCTTACTCGGTAGGTGATGACGACGAGTCTTACCACGGTAAGCGCTTACCGGGTAAATTATTGCATATGATGTCGTTTTTGTGGACTAAAATCTTACCCGGTAAATAAATAATAATGCTAAATTTTATCAGTAAGCACTTATTAGATAAGTGTATGATAAACGATCCCTCACTCTTTCACCGACTCAAAATACTCCAATATGTTTTTTCTTTGAAAAACTATTACAGATGTTTCGAAGTCTCTATATCAATATCTTATGAAACATCCAAAGGGAGCAGCGGCTCTCTCTCTCGTTCTAGCAGAAAGCGTAATTCCGCTCCTGATAATCGTAAAAAAGATATACGTGAAACGATACATCTATAAAATTTATAGATTTCTAAGCAAAACTCGTCATATAAAAAAAGTTTTGAACGAAACCTTAAATAAAGAAAAAGTTTGATGTAATAAAAACTATTCGGTGAATGAAAGATTTCCTTCTAATTTGCATAATTGGAAAAGTTTAGGGGGGAGTTATACAAATTGTTTAAAGTTCAAGGGGGTAAAACGGCAGTTTTAATAACCTTTACTGGCGTATCATCCGGATATCGACCATGGTGGAGTAGATCCGATCATCGAGTTCGCATATCTAGACCATTCAGGTCAGCCAGGAAAACCCTAAACTTTACTCTGCATTTAGGTTGTTCGTGTGAACGATTAAATGGATATTAATCGTCAGTCGCTTAATTTCAGTATTTCACGATCAAATATTTGAATTTTAGGCTAAATTATAGGAAATTGACGTTTGCGATTGCGATTGCGATTTCGAGCCATAGTTTGTTGTTCTTTATAATCATCATGTAGCTTATATAGATTGACCTTCAACATTACAATGCACAAAATACGTGCAAATGGCTGACATTACAGTTTTTCTTTTCATGGATATTATTATGGATATTGGTACTTGTTGTTTAGTTGACATATTTATTTGCACCTCTTTGTTAAGTAGATAAATGACCTCCACCTTCAACTTCAGTGGAGCTTTATGAGTACTTCATGAGCCAACCAGTGATAGAATGCTGTAAAGGAAATAGAAGATAAGATCGTTTCAGGGTATTTGCATATATAAGTGGTGGGGTTTCAACCCCTTTCAAATTAAAAGGTGAAAGAGGAAAATGGTTTTGTTTCTTGCTCATAGCTTCTTGTGATACTCATGGATGTTGGTAATAGAAAATTGTTTGGAAAACTTGGAGTCAGTATTAAAGTAATGCTAGCATATGGTCAATGGCGCAATGGTGTCAGATAGATTGTAAGAGACTTAAATGCAGGATAAAAGTATGCTTACTGATCATAAAAGGTAGAGAAGATGCCTAGGACCATTGGCATTTATAGATCATAATGAAGATAAGATCTTAAGTGGAAATTTGAAGTTAAAAGAAAATTAAGAAACAAAGTAAGAGCATGCATTGCCTTTTCTGAAGAAGGATAAGTCCATATCTGTGAGAACTTTATCAACTGGAACTGAGAGATATATATATAGATCATGGTGTGCTTGAATCCCCTCTCAGTTGATTACATCATTGCCCCGTGGCAGGTGTTCATTTCATCGTTTGCAGGGCCAAGCATCAAAGGTTATTTAGAGGTTAAATGTGGAAAGTACAAAAGAACAAGCTTTTTATCCCAACCTAATTGGACTGAAACTGATACAAGATTAATTATAAAATGGTGAAACCTAAGAGCAACAGAAAGAGAAGGGCTAGCATTCAGGACAAGAATGATGTGTTTCTATGTTCTCCTATGCATGCCAACTCCTAGTATTCTTCCCTCGTGAACATCTTTCTTATTTGCTTACCCCATGCTAAGAACCTCCTGTTGGCGGGACTGGACAAGATTGGACGGGTGAAAGTGAGGTAGGCGGGTGAAAAAATTGTGGAATTCTTTTAAGGTTTTAATATGACAATGGTAGTTTAAGAATTTACCAATCTTGTCCTGTCTCCTTGATTTTTGTTCCACCTATTTTGGTTGGACAAATGAAATGCATTTTTGTCTCACTTAGTCCTGTCCTGGCCGTCTAATGTTGCGCCAAATGTGGGACCGTGCACCAAACAGACCCTCAAAGTAAAAGGTCTATGGTGGAGAGAACCAAAGTACCTCAATCCGTGTTGCCATGACTTATCACCAACCAGTGCCACCCTACCTTTAACCATATATTTTCATTGCTAATTCTGTGGCTCATTCTACCTTAAGATATCCCAAACCTTGCATGTTTTTCATTACATTTGATTTGCAAATACATTTCTCACTTGTGTTTCAAAGGTGTGTAAAGCAATTCGAAACTATGGTCAGCTCTGACTGGACTGGTCCTACCTATCAAACCTCAAACTTAGAATGGCTGGTGTGCCTTGGATGGTAAATGGGAGTGACTACTTATGGAAGTAATGTTAATCAAGTGGCCACATGAATCTTACTTGAATGCTGTTAAGATGGGAGAAGAAGAGGAAAAAGAATCTGCATAAAGAAAGTGGACTTTTAGGTCACTGATTATGTTACCTGATGGTTGGTATGCATTCCAGACTAATGTCCGTAGTTGGGGACAGGAACATTGCCAGATTCTATGTGCCTAAGATCTTCGATAAGCACTTCATAGTGCCTTTTCACTTCTTCTGCAGATTTGCCATCCACTGCCCTTGAAATTTTCTGCCAACGGTCTGGGGTGTCTCTATCGTATACAGCAAGCGCTTTTTCAAATAATTTGTTCTGCTTAGCTGTCCAAGAGGAGGTGGAGCTACTTGAAGGGAGGGAATTTGATGACATTGTTTCCCTGCTAAGACTTTGTGGGTAAGAGTTAAGACTATCCTTGTAGGCAAAACTAATTTCTAGAAAAAATGTTTTGAAGATAAATTTGTTGGTGATTGTTGTTGATACTTACAAAATTATAAGATTGGACTTGTCTAGTCAAGGAAGATGGTGTGTGCTCAAGGGATGGTTTGGAGGATGTTATCAAGGGACGCTTCTTATAAACAGGAAATATAGGTGGCGAGGTTTGTCCAGTAGGACGAATATAACTTGCTAGAGGACCAAAAAGTGATCCATTAGCTTCTTTTACAAACCACAGTGGGAGTACAGTAGCCTCTATAATCGGAGAATCCGTATTAAAGGAAGCTTAATATCAGAAGTATATTAACTTACATGTTATGTGTAATATTTTCCAAATTGTATCTCATTGAGGATACTGTAACATCCCGGCCAACCGTACCATATATTGTCCACACATGGACTCACTAAGTAATTAATACATGGCCAAAACAAATACGGTTGGCCGGGGGTGTTATAAATGGTATCATAGCTGGGAACCGGATTAGTGTGCCGCCTAGGACACTGGGCTCCCTAAGGAGGGGGTGGATTGTGAGATACGACATCAGCTGGGGATGGGAACAAATGTTGTCTTATAAGGGACGGTATGAGACACGTTCTAAAACCTGAGTCCAAGTGTGGATAAAGCGGACGATATCTGGTATGGTTGGCCGGAATGTTACAGTAACACTGGTGAGCATGTGCTAGAGAGTACTATGTTGTCTCTTCATATTAATAGCATTTATTCTCCTGCACTTTCCGTATTTCCCCGAGCTTGCTTTTTGTTCTTTCTATGCCAATGAACTGATTCTTAAGTCCAACAAGAATCTGATTGTTATTTTCTACATGGATATGATAGGTCTCGTACCAAAACATGTCGGGAACTTCTTCACTAGTGAATTTGGAAACCTGTAGAAGCTATTTTGTCTCTATGCAGTGTCCATGTTTGTTGGGCACATTAGTACAAATCTTTCTCTCTTCTATCTGCACATTACTACACTTATTTTTTGTTGAACTATATAATATTTATATACGGCAAAATTAAACTCACACATTTCTCAAGACTTGAACCCTGGACTTCCAGTAAGGCAGGGTTACGATGGACCTTTCTGCATAGTGTAATGCCAACTCATGACCATCACCTGTTCTTTAAATAATCAGTTCAAACATGAAGAGCTTGGCTGACTGGGGGGACAAAGTGACATTTTTAGATGATGATTGTTGAACATCTTAACAGTTTTTGTGTCTGCTTTTTTTTTTTTTTAATACTGAGGGGTTGTTTGGTTGTTTTTCCAGCAAGTCCTATATCAAGAAAATTGTCTGTGTGGATTGATTTGTCTATATAGATTGGGGAAGTTTTTGTTTGGGAGGGTTTTTTCATGGATACCAAAAAAGGAATGCTTGAGGTTCATGTGCTAATGGGTGCATGATATTTTGTGCAGTGACTACTAATAGTAACATGAGCTAAGAATTAGTGAACCAAAAGCCTTTTATTTGTTATTTTCCCTTCGTTTCGTACATACTTGTTGAACTATATAATATTTATATACAGCAAAATTAAACTCACACATTTCTGAAGACTTGAACCCTGGACTTCCATGAAGGCAGGTTTACAATGGTCCTTTCTGCATAGTGTAATGCCAACTCATGATCATCATCTGTTCTTCAAATAATCAGTTCAAACATGAAGAGCTTGGCTGATTGGGGGACAAAGTGACATTTTTAGAAGATGATTGCTGAACATGTTAACAGTTCTTGTGTCTGCTTATGTTTTTTATACTGAGGGGCCGTATGGTTGTTTTTCCAGTAAGTCTTGTATCAATAAGGTTGACTGTGTGGATTGATCTGTCTGTATAGATTGGGAAAGTTTTTGTTTGAAAGGGTTTTTTCATGGATGTAATGAACATGTTTTTTAATCGGTACGGGTAGGTTTAAAAAAAGCTTAGTTTTCTGCATAAATCCCCCCCCCCCCCAAAGCTTCCATGCTGTTGTCTTCAGGGTCCTATGGGATTAGTGGACGTGCTCACAAGCTGGCTCGAGCACCACGATTACCAAAAAAAGGAATGCTTGAGGTTCATGTGCTGATGGGCGCATGAGATTTTGTGCAGTTACTACTAATAGTACCATGAGTTAAGAATTAGTGAACCAAAAGCCTTCTATTTGTTATTTTCCCTTTTGTCTCGATCTATGTACGGACAGTCCTGTAAATGTGCACTTTGGTCCAGCAATGTAGGATCAGATTCTTCCATCTTTTATTGTTCCATTTTTCATGTGGATTACATTTCTTGATGAAAAGTAGGATATTATCGGGAATCTGAGTTATCTAAACTCAATCTGACGTAATATTTTGGCACTACAGATCCAACTGGATGCAAGTTGTGTGAACCACCATCTTTCTGCTAGTGGAAGCCACACTCTTCTCTCCTAATTGCTAGCATCTCAAAGAGCTATTGAACAAAGTGGAAAACAAGGTAAGGAAAGGACTTTCTGCCTTCTATAAACTTAATTCTTAAGCACTCTTTGAGTGCCTTAAGGCTGTGAGGGATGATACTTCACCCTGGGGTCCTATGGTTAAAAGACCTTCTAACAGATTTGAGAATGTCATCGCTTAATAGAAGAATGTCACTTCCATATTCAAGAATGCCCCTGAACTTGTCGAAAGTTATGTTTGGTACGCTTGACAGGACAGGACAGGACAGAACAAACAAGGGTCAGTCTTCCACGTTTGGCATGACTTTTATGTGGAACAGCCGGGAACAAACTGTCTGTGTACCAAATGCACGTTAAGGTCAATAGCCTAAATGGTCCCAAGTATGGGTTATTTAGCTAAACGTAAAGTCCTAACAAGTGTTTTTTCAATTCACGTCATTTTGACAAGTTTCTAGGTACTCTTGTGTATGGAAGTGATATTTTTCTCTTAAGCAGTGACATTATCAGATTCGTCAGTAGGTAATGAATTTAAAAAGAAAAAACTTAACAGAACGTCATTTAACCAAAGGACCCATTCAAGTATAGCATTTGGTTTAGCGATGTGACAGAAGAATTATATGGTAAAACCAAACCGTCTTGAAAATGCAAAAGATGATTCTTTTTTTCTACGTGGTGCTCCTTTAGAATACATCAAAGCTTTCCAATATTTGGAATCCTTATCGTATCCAAAACTATTCCTGAAACATAGTGCTACGAGATCACTTTTTGTTGAACTTGTTATGCTTGCTCATTACCATCTCGATATAACTCGTCACATGTTGGTAAAAGGTTTGTAGATGGTCGTATGATGTAAATGTTCTTGGTTTCAGTAACTTGACATTGATTCATAAATTAAGGGATAGGCTAAATGCACACTAATTTATTGCTAAATGCACACATACATACTAATTTTCTCCTCACATACATCAACATCAACACTTACTTTTTACATTTTCAATGTATGATTTGATCTGATTCTGATTCTGTTACTTTTTACATTCTCAACAAAATGTTTCTCTTTCTTGGGCATTTAATATTGGATCGTTCTCTAAATTTAGAGATTTTTTTTATCTTCTTTCTTATTTTTTTAATTTTGAAGAATCTTTTATAGCAAAAAATGGTAAAAAAAATCAAAATCATAGATGTTCAGATCAGCTTGTATGCGTCTCGATTAAACCCAAAGGTTTTTTCAATAACCTTGCAGAACTCGAACCGATAACCTTGTAAAAATATTCCAAAACCAAGCCTTTATTACCATTGGAGCTAACCCAAAAGATTAGTGGAGCAGTTTGTGGTTTATTTTTGCAGCCTTTTGAAGGTAACTTGAGTTTATTATCAATTGATGTTATATATATTCTTTCATTATTCCTAGGTTAAGGGGTTATTTGTTTACCTTTTAATAGTTTCATTAAAAGGCAGCCTCTGAATTATTAAGAGGTGAATCTTGTTTGGAAGGAAAAAAAGTCTGACTCTTAATGGTTCTAAAACTCTCTGAATAATTTTGTATCATGGGTCTCCCTTAACCGTTTAGCGCCTTAATTTCATTGAAAACAATTACCAAACAATTATATTATATTTTGTATTATATCATGAGAGCCTCTTAATCATTCTGTATCAAACCATTCAACAGCTGTCAAACAACTTCTAAGCTATTAGACTATTAGTATATAATATCTTCCTATTCCTAGAGCTTCCAACTTGGCCCTCTCCTTTGATTGTTTTGAAATCACAAATAAGTTATTAACAGAGTCAGACCTAGAATTTTTTAAATGACGACATAATTTGACTAAAATTAAATCCATAGAAATATTTACAATGTTAATACAAATTGGTTGGTATCTTGTATTTGCATTGTAGCAACCCATGTTCGAGTCCAGACTTTAGTTTTTTTTAACCATAAGAGGTATATAAAAAACACCAAAAATTTAAGCTGAAAACGAAGAAATCTAACAAAAGGGGGACTCAAACCAGTGTTTTTGTATAAATTGGGTAACATTTACCAACTTCACTGTTAAAGACTTGCATCAACATTTCAGTTTCAAAAACTATATGGTGGCACCCAACAAACAATACGGTATTACCCTTCAGAAACTTAATTTCCCCTTATGACGGAACCATGAAGCGGTGGTCGTGCCACCTTACATGCTACGTAGGTCCGTCTCTGTTCCTGAGTGAATTATATTTCTCTTTCCTATGGTTTAGCATTTTTAAGGAATTCTGATTCTATTTTAAAAAATTAACACTGCATTTTTTTTTGACAAGTCGGGTCCCTAATGCAACCATAAGAACCTATGTGTGTTAAAAAAAACTATAACCACAAGGATCTAACTCGGTGAAAAATGCAACCACAGGAATCAAACACGTTAAAAAACGCAACAACAAAAATATGTTTTGTTGATTTTTTAAAATAGTAACAGAATCCTTCAAGAATACCATAGGAACGAAAAGTGTAAGGAAAAAAATGCACAAAATAACAATATATTTTTATAAATTTCTTTATTATAGCATTGTACTTTCATTTTTTTATTACAACAATTTACTTTCAAACTATTTTTATTAGGATATTGTACTTTGAAAAAAATACCCATTATAGCATTAGGTAACATTTTTATTTAAAGTTACCCGTTATACCAGGTTTCCATTTCACTTTGTTGTCCACGTAGGCTGTCCACATG